CTTATTTGGCACTTCTTAGCTCAAAAGTCTTAATCTTTTTGAGTTAAAAAATTTTTTAAATCTTGATTCCTCTTCTCCCCCAAACTACCATCAATTTCTTTAACAAGGTTGTACATTGTCTTTCCTTTCTTACCTTCATTGCATTCCTCTACCCATTTCAATCTGGCTTCTGTCCCCATAGTCCAGAAATGACCCTTATTAAGGTAGTGACCTGCATGTTTCATACTCAGTGCACATTTCCCCGTCTTCATCTCATGCTCTCCCAGCGGCAGTGTCTGGGACCCTGATAGTAATGGTACTTGGCAGCTAACTGTGCGCGTCTTTTTCCAACTCCAGATTCGGTGAAGATATGTTGGTAGCTTGAAACTGGCCACGGCAAGAGCATTTACATCACCACAATCAGCAAATGCTGCTAATCAGAACTTCTTCTCCCTCACAAAGCCATTTGTGAAACATTTGCCCTCACACTCCTGGGTATAGGTGACCATTTTCCCCTGCACAGAACTCCCTTTATTGTTGTTTGCTCAATGCTACTTTTTCTTGGTTTTCCTCCCATCTTAGCTTCTCCATCTGCTCCTTTGCTGGCTCTTCCTCTGCCCCACCACCACGTGTTGATATTCCTTAGGAGTCAGTCCTGGGCCCTCTCTTCTTCCCTTCATATACTAGCTTCAAAAATAATCTCACTAATTTCCATGTGTTTAAATACTACCATTATGCCAATCAATTTACATCTGCAGCCCAGCTCCCCTCTAAGACCCAAACTCAAACATCAAACCATTTATTTAAGCTTGTCCTGGGTGTCGCACAGACATCTCAGACCCATGGCCAAACCCATGGCCAAAACAGAGTTCCACATTTAATTCCACAAGCCTTTCCCTTTCTTAACTTCCCCATCACAACATTCTTTATTTCCATAAATGGAACCACACCATTTATCAAATGAACCTAAATGTATCCACGGTTTCCCTGTCCTTCATCCTCATGTCTAATCCTGCAACAAATCTGCCAATTCTACCTCCTAAATATCTTTTGATTCTTACTTTTATTCTCCATTTCTATTGCCATCACATCTTGAGTACCCATCATCTCTCCAATCAATCACTATAATGGCCTCCAAACGGATATCTGCACTTAAAGTCTGCCTCCCTGGCAATCCAGCTCCACGTAACAGCAAAAATTGATTATAAAATGTAGACCAGATCATAAAATGTAAAATCAGATCACACCATTTCCTGCTTAAAATCCTTAAATGGTCTTTCATTACGTTTAGTTTAAAAATTGAATTTTAGGTTTTTTACCTGGCCCCGGCTTATCTGTCCAACTTGAAGCATGATAGTTTAAGTTTGTTTATGTTCTGCCCAAGCCCACAGTGGTTGGTTTTTTAGCCCTTGAACGTGCCAAGGGTTTTCCCCATATGGAGCTTTTGCTATATGCACCCCCTGTCTGAAATGATCTTTTGTCCGCTTTTTGTGGTTCTCTCCTTCTGTTCCTTTAATTATCAAATCAGGTTAAATCTACCTTTTCTTTGCTTTTTATGTCAGCTCCCTGTTTTATATTCATGGATGAGTGAGTGAATGAGTCTACATATGAATAAGGATTTGCCTTATTGAAAAAAATAATGAAAAAATATTAAGAAGTTCTTAGCACAAAGCCTGATACAGAGTATGTGTTTAATACATGGCAACTGTGGGAGCAGGAGGCAACTATTTCGAAAGTAAATTTAATTTTTAGTATTCCAAAGTTCCTGAATGAAGAGTCGTGCCCTGAAGGTGGCAGTATTAAAGCTTAGGATATTCTCCCTTCCTGGTTTCACAGATAAGTAGGCTTGCTTAAGCAGAACATCCCTAGCATTTATGCTTTGAATTACTAAGTATGTACTTGCAAGACAAAGAGCTAGAGTTTCCTGATGGGAATTGAAATATGGTAACTCAAATAGGGTAAAAGAGAAAAGCACCAGTGAAACTATTAGGTCATAAATATCTTTTGTTTTTCCCTCATCAAACACATATGGGAAAAACATATTTGGATTTTGGCAATTTAATAGGTTTTAGACTGTAATCTTGACAATCCTCTAATTTTATGAATATAAATTTAGTCACTTAGTTGGGTATCGGAAAAATTCTGCAACTTAATCTCATGTTTAAAATGCAGCTTGTTTATCATTAGGGACCCATGAAATCACAAAGATGGAGCCACATTGATTATAAAAAAAAAAAGAGAGAGGGGTTAAGAGGGTAACATCAACTTACTGTACTAACAGTATAGTCAAGTTAGATCAAATGTAAAATAACATGTATAAGTAACTTTAAAAATAATATTATAATTAACCTATATAAAATAACACTGTACTTGCATCAAATTCTAAAACCAATTTAGGAAAGAAATGTATTTAAATACTTGATGGTTGTGTGTCATGAGAAGTGGTTCTGGTGCCACCAAAACCAGGAGCCACGAACACTGTGACTTCTCTGGAGTCATGAGGTGGGTATGCACCAGGGGCCCTCCGGGCAGCTGCACTACCGCTAACTAAATCTTTATCCTCATCGTCTCTGGTCTCTTTCTTAAGGGATTAGAGCAGATGTTCCTGAACTCCTCACTTTATGCGCTCTTAGCCCTGAACCCTGCACTGTCCACTGTGACCTTTCGGGAATAAAGGGACACCCCTTTGCCTGGTTTACCACACAGATCACAAAATACCGAAAAAAAGAGGCTCAGGAGGAAAAATAAATCTTTTCACTCATTTCATTTTTTTTTCTCCACAGAAGGTTTCACTTCTGGCCGGCCATCTCCTTTTTTGGGAATCCCATTGTTCTCAAGGACCCTGTTTGTTCTACAACTTATATCAAAACTCCCCCTTCCTGAACATGAAGTGGGGAGGAGAGAAGACCTTGGCATTCCTTCATGTGGTAGAGGTGGAGCGTGCTCACATACAGAATTGATTTCCTGGAAACTCAGCAGGCCCAGCCTTTTCAATCTGTGAATGACAACGGATGGCAGTCACAGCCTCCCTGGAGGGCACCTCACGTGTCACCATTAGCAAAAGTATCAACACATCCTTCATCCACTGCAATTGTATTTCTAAGTGTCTTTCTTAGATGTATATTGGCAAACAATCATAAAGAGACATATTCAAGGATATTCAATGGCAGCGTTGTTTGAAACCATGAAATCAGAAACAATATAAATGACCAACCAAGGAAAAATGATCAGCTGAACTATAATGCATCTATACTATGGAATATATCCAAAGAATAAAATGGATCTATATTCTGATGTGGAAAGATCTTTAAGACAAATTCTACATGAAAAGAGCAATCTGCAGAAAGCTATTTCTCTATGTCTATATACCCACATACACAATGTGCATAGATATGGAAACAAAAGAAATCGGTTTAGAAGGACACCCATCAAATAGATAGCAGCGATTACTTCAGGGAAGAAAGTTGCATTTGTGTGGAAGTTGGATTAAAGTGGACTTTTCTTTGTTTCTGAATTATGAGAAAGGGGCAAGGAAAGCATGCATGCAATGTAGTATAGAGATTAATTTCATGGTCTCTGGAACCAGATAACCTGTGTACATCATTAAACTTGTGGTTTAAATAGGTGGCAGTATGCCACTTATTTAACCTTCTGTGCTTGGGTTTTCTCCTCTGTAAAATGGGTTAACAATCGTGTCTACCTAAGAAAGTGGTTGTAAAAGGTGAAATAATATGATACATGTGAAGTGTTTGGCACCTAGTATGGATTATGTTAAGTGTTAGCTTGTATCATTGATGTAGGAAAGAATAAGTCATTGGTGACTTCACTCTAGGCAGAGAAAAATTATTACATTCTTCATATTTTGGTACTAGTGAGACCTCAGGAAATGTGCTTTAAAAAAAATCAGCATCAAATAGGGACTCTGTGGCATCTTACTACACTGATGGATAGTGACTGCAATGGGGTATAGAGAGTAATGTTATAATCACGTTGCTTTTCTTGTGAAACCTTTGTAAGAGTATATATCAATGATACCTTAATAAATTAATAAAAGAAAAATTAATCAATGTCAAACAGCTCTGCAGATGAGTATTCTAATGGTCTTGCTTTTTTATAGTCATCCTGGAACAAAGTGCAGCAAGGTGCACTGGAGAAGAGTACAGTCCTTGATTATTAGAATTGTCCAGTTGCCACCCCTTAAGTGATCCATTCAACATCCAGATCCCTTCTCAGGCTGCTTAAACACCTGTGTTTCTTGTTTTGTTCTTTCTCCAGGGCACCTGTTCCTGGGCTGGCCACCTTTGGACAGGTAGTATTTTTTGGCTCCTGCTAGGGAATCTATTCTGACCTCTGCCTTGATTCCCTTGGTATGGATTTTCTTTAATGACAGCCTGTATCTGAAATACTTACCATCTCTCCTCTGCTCTACAGCCCTGCCAGTGGTCCTCTCATCTAGAATAGAGACCCTTCAAGTTTCACATTCTGACCTGGACCTGGACTCAATTACTTGTTCCTCTGTTTTGACTTTATCTTAACATTTTCAGTCCAATTTTCCTTTCAGTTTCCCCCAAGTTGCTGCCAACTTCTATGTAACTTTTCTAGCATGCTTCATGACCAGTCTCTTATCCTCTGCTTCAAACTAACAGTTTAATTATGTTATGGCTCCCACATAATAGTAAGTAAAGCATTTACAATTTATTAAAGGATAGAACAGAAGCCATTCAGAACATAATTCCCAAGAAGCTGACTGATATCAAACAGAAGTATGCTTCACCTCTAAACAGCTGTGTCCTCTCGTGGCAGGGAGAGACAGAAAGCAAGCCAGCTCTCTGGTGTTTCTTCTTATAAGGGGACTAATCCCATCATGAAGGTCCCACCCTCATGACTTCATCCTAAAGGCTCAATATCCAAACACCATCACACTGGGGAGTGGGGCTTCAACACATTTTGGGAGGACCCAGTTACATCATAGCACCTCACTCCCCAGGTCAGAGACCCAACAATGACTAATAAGAGTCCTTCCTCTTTCCCAATCCAAATTCTCCAGAGAGAGCTGGACTGGCCAAGCCTGGGTTGGGTCCTCACTCCAGGCTAGTGACCAAGCTGAGATTGCTATAGTGCTGAGTTGTAGTGTGGTTTGAAGAATTATCTTGCTTAAAAAAAAATAATTTACCATACAAATATATATTCCTAAATTATGTGTTTTCCAGTTTGGCTTTTTTTTTTAAACATGTTTCTATTATTCAACTATGTATAACTGTGGTGTGTTCATTATCATAAATGTATAATATTCCAATGTGTGGCTATACCAAACTTGTTTTACTTCACATTTGCTGGTTCTTTCTTCAGATATGTCCTGTCTGCTGATGAGCTCATTGAAGGAATTCTCATCTCAAATATATCTAGCATTTCAATTTGACTTTTTCTTACTGTCTCCATTTTGTTGCTGAAATCCCCCATCTCTTCATTCATTCTACTTTTTTTCCGCCAAATTCAGAGTCATAGTTATTTTAAAGTCTTTGTCTGATAGTTCCAAAACCCAAGTCATACCTGAATCTGGATCTGTTGATTCTATTTGGTATCATTTTCTTGCCTCCTGAAGAACTTCCTTCAACCTTCTTGTAGTACAGATCTGCTGGTGATGCATTTTCTGTTTTCTGTTTCAATAACTTTTAATGTTATTGAAGAATACTTTTGCTGGACATCGAATTCTAGTTTCAGTTTTTTTCTTCCAGCCCTTTAAAAAGTCTTTCCATTGTCTATGCGTTGCTTAGTTTCTGCTGAGAAGTCTGTTCTATTTCTTATAACCTTCTACACATAGTTTATCTTTTTACTCTAGTAGCTTATGATTTTCTCTTTATCACTAGTTTCAGCAATTTGATTATGACATACCTGTGTTTGTATGAGTGTATATGTATGTATATTGTATGTGTGTGGATATTTATCCTGCTTGAGAATCATACTATTTTCCTCAAATTTGAAATATTCTCTGCTCTTATCTCTTTAAACATGTTTTCTGCTCCTCCCCCTCTAGGATCCAAATATATATATGTTAGCAGGCCATTTGTTATTGTCCCACTGGTTACTGAAACTCTGTTTATTATTTCTTTCAATGTTTTCTTTCTATCTGCTTCATTTTGAATATACTTTATTGATTACTTAATGTTTATTGATCTTTTCTTCTGAAGAGTGTAATTTTAGCTATTCCATTTGGTGAAATTTTTAAGATACTGTATTTTCATTTCTAAAACTTCTGTTTGGCTCATTTGTTCTTTAATCTTTCATTTTCCTCCTCACTATCTTCATGTCTTCCTTTAAATATTTGGCATGGTAAATGAAGATACATTATATTATATTATATTATATTATATTATATTATATTATATTATATTATATTATATTATATTATATTATATTATATTATATTATATTATATTATATTATATATATATTATCTATCTGTATGTTATCTATACATTTTCTTTAGATATAGATATCTCTGTAATTCTAAGTCTGCTTTAATGAGTGATTTTTTTTTTGCACTATGGGCTACCTTCTCTTGCTACTTGTCATGTTTAGTAATTTTTGACTGAATGCCAAGCATTGTAACCATTACTTTATTGGGTGCTAGTTTTTGTTGCCTTTCTTCAAAATTGTTTTTCTCTGTTCTATAGGCAATTAAGTCATTTACATATCAGTTTGATCCTTTGAAAGCCAATTTTAAGGTTTTCTAGGTTGATGGAGTGTACTTTTTAATCCAAGGAGTATTTTAGCTTTCCTACTAAGGTGTGACCCCGATGAGGTCTTCAGTGAATGCTTTAGATTATCACCAAAGAATCTTTACTGTGCCCGGTCACAACTCAACTATCTCCAGCTCTGTGTGGGCCCTACAGATTGCTCAGCTTTCAACACTGTGTTCATTTTAACTACCCGGTGAAGCTTCATCCTTTCCCTGTGCAGCCAAGTACTGAAAAAAGTCTCAAGAGGACTTCCGTGCAGATTCCTGGCACTCTTTCTGTACATAGTTTCTTTTTCTATGTACTTTGTCCCACAACTTCCAGCCACCTGAGCCTCCCAGGACTCTCATCTCTGCCTCTTAAACTCAGTGAGACTACTGAACTCCGTGTGAATTTCTCCTTCCTCACCTGTGGTTTGAAAATCCTTTCTAGTCAGAAGCTAAGGCCTTCATCATTTGTAGGACTCAACTTACTTTCTTCCCATTTTTAAGGGCTCACTGTCCTAAGCTGCCTGTTGTACAATCCCTAAAAATAGTTGTCTCACCACTCAATTTTTTAATTGTTCGATATGGGAAGGCAAGTCCAATTCTTGTTAGTTCATCATGCCAGAAACAGAATTCCAGTCCATGGCCTCTTTTAAACATCTACTCTGCCTGTAGTTAAATGTCTATTTCTATTTCTAATGTTGTTCATTAAAGCCTTCTCTTTTTTTTGCTTAATGAATTACACTAAAGGGCATTCATTTTATTAATATTTCATTAAAATTTTCTTAGTTTATCATTTCAAACCGATTGTTTAGTTAGATTTGTCTACATGTAAACAAAATTTTTTTCCTTTTTCTTCCTTCTTACCCTTTTAACAGGAATCATTTTCCTTATATAAATATATTATGTCTTTATATATATAAATAATGTAGAAATTACTTCAGTAGAAAACTCAATTTTTTATCTCAAAATAACTTTTCTGCCCTATTTTTGTCAGATATTTTTGCTGTTTACACAATTTTAATTGGCTAGTTATAATTTAATCAGAATCCCATAGATTTATGACTTTCATTATTCCCTCCAAGAAGTCTGTTGTCCCTTCGTCCTTTCTTTGTGTGTTGTGTCTCTGCTTTTTTTAGATCTCTTTGTCTTTAGTGTTATTAAGTTGCAATGCAATGTATCTAGGCCTAAGTTATTTTTATTCATCCTACTTGATGTATGTTATATTTCCTTTATCTATGGGTTTGTCTTTTTGCAAAGTTCTAAGCTATTATTTCTTCCAACGGTGTCTCTTCCATGTTTTCTATTCTCTCTTAGGATTCCTATTACTTACAAATTAGACCTTCTCATCTTATAATCCATAGATTTTTAACCTCTCTTTTGTATTATCCATCTCCTAGTATTTCAGAGCTATTTTCTTAGTAATTTTTAAATATCTACCTTCCATTTCATTAGTTCTTCCTTTGGTTTCAACTAGTTTTTTGCTTTACTTCAGCATTGAATTTTTAAAAAATTGGTAAAGTTGATATTTTAAATTGCTGTTTGGTTCTTTTTGAAATTTACTTGGTCATTTTTGACAGTCTCTTATTGGCTCATATTTGTGATGCTTATCTTTTATTACTTTATATATTTCATCTCTTATTTTATATTTGTCAGTTGGGGATTACAATATCTGAAGTACACAATATCTATATCTGCTATTTGTTGTTTCACTCTGACTCTCACTCAGAGTAACTTGTTTCCTTGCATATTTAGTAACTTCATTTTTGGTTGATCACCTGTGAAATCCAGGGGATCTAAATTGGGAATGATTTTATCAACATTGAATTTTTGTTTGCTTCTCTTGGAAGCTGGAGATGCTACTGACCTGGAATCATTTTAGCTCCCTTTAGTGGCCTGGCTTAATGAGGAGTCTCAGGTCTAGCTTCTCCACCTTGTATATTTATCAGACTTCCCTGCTAGAATTTAATGTCATGAGCACAGGGACTTTATCTAACTTGTTTGGCCTACCTTCCTCATTGCCTACTACATGGTAGGTATTATAAAGGTATTTGCGGAAAATTTATTGAGCAGCTCAACCTCTCTTTGTGTAAGTTGGGTGTTATGTAGAAAGTAGAATTATTATCATGCTACTCAGGAGAAATTTATGTTCAGAATGAAAAGTGATGGTGAATCAGCAGTGGAAAAGCTATAGGAGTAAGAATCCATATTCAATCATTAAAAAAATCAATAAAGAATAGAAAGCACTAAAACACTGCTTCCTTCCATTAGAGGTTGAAAGGGTATTTTTGGCAAGAGTCAAATAGAAACTTATCTTCAACATATAGACTGGAATGTGTTTCTTCCTTTTGGAAATATTTAAACTCTTCTTTATAATTTCAACCAACAGACTATACTTTTATTTTCTGACTTTAAAAAGTGTCACTTAATGTTTCTTCTAAAATTCCTTCTGCTTTAC